GTGTGGGTCTGGGTGGGGAGGGTGGAAAGGAGGTGGGGAAAGGGGGAGGGAAAGAGGAGGAGGGGAGAAGGTCAAGTGAGGCCTTCCAAGAATTTTTGGGGGGATTTTGGGGTTTTGGGTGGGGAGGACCCCAAGAGGACGTGGGGTTGGGCCTGGGGTGGGGAGGGGGGGAGCAGAGGGAGGGAAGGGGGAAGGGGGAAAAGGGGAGAAGGTCGGACGAGGCCTTCAAGGATTTTGGGGATTTTGGGGGGTTTGGGTGGGGGAGGACCCCAAAAGGACGTGGGTGGGGTCTGGGGTGGGAGGTGGGGAGGTGGTGGGAAAGGGGAGGGAAAAGGAGGAAGGGAGAAGGTCAAGTGAGGGGCCTTCAAGGATTTTTGGGGGATTTTGGGGTTTTGGTGGGGAGGACCCCAAAGGACGTGGGTGGGGTCTGGGGTGGAGGGTGGGAGGGAGGTGGGGAGAGGGGGAGGGGAAAGGGGAGGAGGGGAGAAGGTCAAAGTGAGGCCTTCAGAGGTTCAAGATTTTTGGAGGGGGTTTTGGGTGAGGGAGGACCCCAAAAGGACGTGGGTGGGTCTGGGGTGGGAGGGTGGGGGAGAAGAGGGGGAGGGGGAGGGGAAAAGGGGAGGAGGGGGAGAAGGTTGAGGTGGGGCCCTAAGGTTGAAGATTTTGGGGGTTTTTGGGGGGTTCTGATGGGGAGGACCCAAAAGGACGTGGGGTGGGTCTGGGGTGGGGGAGGGTGGGGGAGCAGAGGGGGAGGGGAGGAAAGGGGAAAAGAGGGAGAAGGTCGAGGTGGGGCCTTCAAGGTTGGAGATTTTGGGGGGGCGTTTGGGTGGGGAGGACCTCGGCAAGGACGTGGGGTGGGGTCTGGGGGTGGGGAGGGTAGAGGGAATGGGTGGAGAGAGGGGAGGAAAGGGGAGGGAGGGAGAGAAGGTTGAGGTGGGGCCTTCAAGGTTGGAAGATTTTGAGGGGGTTGGGGTGGGGAGGACCCAAAGGACGCGGGGGTGGGGATCTGGGGTGGGGGAGGTAGTAGGGAATGGGTGGGGAGAGGGGGAGGGAAGAGGGGAGGAGGGAGGAGAAGGCTGAGGTAGGGTCTTCAAGGGTTCAAGATTTTTGGAGGGGCTTTGGGGGGGTTTTGGGGGTGAGGGAAGAGACCCCAAAAGGACGATGCGGGGTGGGGTCTGGGGGTGGGAGGAGGGTGGGGGGGGGGAGCAGAGAGGGAAAGGGGAGGGAAAGGGGAGGAGGGGGAGAAGTTTGAGGCGGGGCCTTCAAGGTTGGAGGAGATTTTGGAGGGCTCTTGGGGCTTTGGGAGTTGGTGGGGGAGGACCCTGCAAGGACGATGAGGAGTGGGGTCTGGGGGTGGGGGGAGGGTGGAGGGAGTGGTGGAGAGACGGGGAGGGGAAAGGGGGAGGGAGGGGGAGAAGGTCAAGGCAGAGGTCATCAAGGCCAAGAAGGTCCTCCAAGGGTCACAACCCAACCAGGGCTTAGTTGACCAAGAGGCTCACCAAGGGCTTAGTCAGCAGAGAGGCTGGAGAACCTTCTTGGCCTTGGTGACCTCTTTGGGTCAACCAAGCCCTTGTTGGGTTGACCAAGCCCTTGTTGGGTTGACTGCCTTGTTGGGTTAGCCAAGCCCTGGTTGAGTTAGGTGACCCCTTGGTGGACCCTCTTTGGGTCAACCAAGCCCTGGTTGGGTTGGGTGACCTCTTGGAGGACCCTCTTTGGGTCAACCAAGCCCTGGTTGGGTTGACCAAACCCTGGTTGGGTTGGGTGACCCCTTGGAGGACCTTCTTGGTCTTGGTGACCTCTTTGGGTCAACCAAGCCCTGGTTGGGTTGGGTGACCCCTTGGTGGACCTTCTTGGCCTTGGTGACCTCTTTGGGTCAACCAAGCCCTGGTTGGGTTGGGTCACCTCTTTGGGTCAACCAAGCCCTGGTTGGGTTGGCCAAGCTCTTGGAGGACCTTCTTGGCTTTGGTGACCTCTTTGGCTTGGTCAAGCCCTTGTTGGGTTGACCAAGCCCTGGTTGGGTCAACCAAGCCCTGGTTGGGTTGACCAAGCCCTGGTTGGGTTGGCCAAGCCCTGGTTGGGTTGGGTGACCTCTTGGAGGACCCTCTTTGGGTCAACCAAGCCCTGGTTGGGTTGGCCAACCAGACCTTCATCGACCTCTCGAGCTCCTCCAACCCAAAAAACTCCACCAAGAGCAGATTTTTGAGGTGTTTCACCCCCACCTTTGACCTCCTGACGTCACCCCTGTCCCCTTTGTCCCCTCCCACCCCCTAGGGCGACTCGGGGGGCCCCCTGGTGTGCGGGGGGGTCCTGCAGGGCATCGTCTCGTGGGGGATGGAGCGCTGCGGCCGCCCCCGCCGCCCCGGCGTCTACACCAAGGTCTGCAGGTACGCCCGCTGGATCCACCAGACCATGGAGGACAACTAGAAGAGAAGAGGAGGAGGAGGCCACGCCCACCTCATTGTCATCAGCCACCCACCCAACCCCACCCAGCTGGAGGGGGGAGGGGAAAAGGAGAAAGGGAGATTAAAGGTGGTCGGTGGGGAAATCGGGAGTGTCTCGGTGGTTTTGGGGGGTTGGTTGGTGGGTTGGGGGGGTTGAGAGGGTTAATGGGGTCATTAGGGGGTCATCAGTGGTCAAAAGGGGGCAATGGGGTCAATGGGGGTCAATGGGGGTCAATGGGGGTCAATGGGGGTCAATGGAAGTCAATGGGGGTCAATGAGGGTCAATGCAAGGTCAACAGGGGTCAACAGAGGGTCAATGGAAGTCAATGGGGGTCAATGGGGGTCATTGGGGGTCAATCAGGAGGTCAATGGAGGTCAATGGAGTCAATGGGGGTCAATGGAAGTCAATGGAGGTCAATGGAGGTCATCAAGGTCAGCAGAGGTCAACAGAGGTCAATGGAAGTCAATGGAGGTCAATGGGGGTCAATGAGAGGTCAATGGGGGTCACATGGAGTCAATAGGAGTCAATGGGGGTCAATGGAGGTCAATGAGGGGTCAATGGAGGTCACTAGGGGTCAACAGGAGTCAATGGGAGTCAATGGAAGTCAATGGAGGTCAATAGGGGTCAATGGGGGTCAATAGGAGTCAATGGAGGTCAATGGAGGTCAATGGGAGATCAATGGAGGTCAATGGAGGTCAATGGGGTCAACAGGGTCAATAGGGGTCAATGGGGGTCAATGGAGGTCAATGGAGGTCAATGGAGGTCACCATGGCCAACAGAAGTCAATGGGGCATCAGGGTCAATGGAGGTCAATGGATGTCAATGGGGGTCAATGGAGGTCAATGGAGGGTCAATGGAGGTCAATGAGAGCCAAGGTCAATGGAGGTCAATGGAGGTCAATGGTCAACAGGGGTCAATGGAGGTCAATGGAGGTCAATAGGGGTCAATGAGGGTCACATGGGTCAATGGGGTCAATGGGGGTCATAATGGTCAATGGAGGTCAATGGTCAATGGAGGTCAATGGGGGTCAATGAAGGTCAATGGAGGTCACTAGTGGTCAATGAGGTCAATAGGGGTCACCAATGGTCAATGGGGGTCACTCAATGGTCAATAGGGGTCAAATGGTCAATGGAGGTCAATGGGGGTCACAATGAAGGTCAATAGAGGTCAATGAGGGTCACCAATGGTCAATAAGGGTCACCAATGGTCAATAGGGTCAATAGGGGTCACCAATGGTCAATGGGGGTCACCAATGGTCAATGGGGTCACTGTGGTCAATGAGGTCAATAGGGGTCACTAATGGTCAATGGGGTCAATGGGGGTCACCAATGGTCAATGAGGTCAATGGGGGTCACCAATGGTCAATGGGGTCAATGTGGGTCACCAATGGTCAATGAGGTCACCAATGGTCAATGAGGTCAATGGGGTCACCAATGGTCAATGGGGTCACCAATGGTCAGTAGGGTCAATAGGGTCACCAATGGTCAATGGAGGTCACCAATGGTCAATAGAGGTCAATAGGAGTCTGATGGTCAATGAGGTCAATGGGGTCACCAATGGTCAATGGGGGTCACCAATGGTCCAGTGATCATGGGGTCAATGGGGGTCACCAATGGTCAATGGGGGTCACCAATGGTCAATGGGGTCAATGGGGGTCACAAATGGTCAATGGGGGTCACCAATGGTCAATGGGGTCAATGGGGGTCACCAATGGTCAATGGGGGTCACCAATGGTCAATAAGTCTGTGGTCAATGGGGTCAATGGAGGGTCACCAATGGTCAATGGAGGTCAATGGGTCACCAATGGTCAATGAGGACACCAATGGTCAATAGGGGTCACCAAGGTCAATGGGGTCAGTGGGGTCACCAATGGTCAATAGGGGTCACCAATGGTCAATGAGGTCAATGGGGGTCACCAATGGTCAGGAGTCTGGTCAATGAGGTCAATGGGGTCACCAATGGTCAATGAGGTCAATGGGAGTCACCATGGTCAATGGGGGTCACCAATGGTCAATGGGGTCAATAGGAGGTCAATGTGGTCAATGGGGGTCACCAATGGTCAATGGGGGTCAATAGGGGTCACCAATGGTCAATAAGGGGTCAATGGGGTCACTGATGGTCAATGAGGTCAATGGGGTCACCAATGGTCAATGGGGTCAATAGGGGTCACCAATGGTCAATGGGGTCACCAGTGGTCAATGAGGTCAATGGGGGTCACCAATGGTCAATGAGGGACACCAATGGTCAATGGGGGTCACCAATGGTCAATGGGGGCATGGGGGTCACCAATGGTCAATGGGGGTCACCAATGGTCAATGGGGGTCAATGGGGGTCACCAATGGTCAATGGGGGTCACCAATGGTCAATGGGGTCAATGGGGGTCACCAATGGTCAATGGGGGTCAATGGGGGTCACCAATGGTCAATGAGGTCAATGGGGGTCACCAATGGTCAATGGGGGTCACCAATGGTCAATAGGGTCAATGGGGGTCACCAGGGGTCAACAGGGGAGCCCCTCCCACCCCAAACAAGCCCCTCCCCCTTCAATTACCACCTCAATTAACGAATTTCGTTCTTTATTTACCAAAACCTCCCCTTTTTTCCCCTCCCCCCACCCCCAAAAGGCCCCAAATTCCCCCCAATCCCCAACTGGGGGTGGGGGCGGGGCTTGTTGGAGGCTCCGCCCCCTTCCTCGGCTCAGGTCACGCCCCTTGGTGGGGTCTGGTGACGTCACTTCTCCTTGGGGGGGGGCCTGCGGACACACCAGTATGGACCAGTTAGGGACCAGTGCAGACCAGTGTCTTCCCAGTATAGCCCAGTTACCACCAGTGTTCCCCCAGCGCCCTCCCAGTCCATCCCAGCATAGCCCAGTTACCACCAGAGCCATCCCAGTAACCACCAGTACCATCCCAGCATAGCCCAGTTACCACCAGCGCCCTTCCAGTAACCACCAGTGCCATCCCAGTATAGCCCAGTTACCACCAGTGTCCTCCCAGTGCCCTCCCAGTCCATCCCAGTACAGTCCAGTAACCACCAGTGCCCTCCCAGTATAGCCCAGTTACCCCAGTACCATCCCAGTGTCCTCCCAGTGCCATCCCAGCATAACCCAGTTACCACCAGCGCCCTCCCAGTATAGCCCAGTTACCCCCAGGACCATCCCAGTGTCCTCCCAGTGCCGTCCCAGCATAGCCCAGTAACCACCAGTGCCCTCCCAGTATAGTCCAGTTACCCCAGTACCATCCCAGTGTCCTCCCAGTGCCATCCCAGCATAACCCAGTTACCACCAGTGCCCTCCCAGTATAGCCCAGTTACCCCCAGGACCATCCCAGTGTCCTCCCAGTGCCGTCCCAGCATAGCCCAGTAACCACCAGTGCCCTCCCAGTATAGCCCAGTTACCCCCAATACCATCCCAGTGTCCTCCCAGTGCCGTCCCAGCATAGCCCAGTAACTACCAGTGCCCTCCCAGTATGGCCCAGTTATCCCCAATACCATCCCAGTGTCCTCCCAGTGCCGTCCCAGCATAGCCCAGTAACCACCAGTGCCATCCCAGTATAGCCCAATTACCACCAGTGCCCTCCCAGCATAGCCCAGTTACCACCAGTACCGTCTCAGTCCCCCCCAGTCCCTCCCAGTCCTTCCCAGTCCCCTCCCAGTGCCTCCCAATCCCCTCCCAGTGCCCCCCAATCCCTCCCAGTGCCCTCCAATCCTCCCAGTGCCCCCAATCCCTCCCAGTGCTCCCAATCCCCTCCCAGTGCCCCCAATCCCTCCCAGTCCCTCCCAGTGCTCCCAGTGTCCCCAGTACCGGTACACCCCCACCACCACGGCGTGGTCCCTCTCGTAGGGTTCCAGTTCCCACCCCCAGTCCTCTCCCAATCCCCTCAGTCCTCCCAGTGCCCCTAATCCCCTCCCAGTGCCCCCAATCCCTCCCAGTCCCTCCCAGTGCCCCCAATCCTCCCAGTGCCTCCCAGTGCCCCTCAATCCTCCAGTCCCTCCCAGTGCCCCCAATCCCCTCCCAGTGCCCCCAATCCCTCCCAGTCCTCCCAGTGCCCCAGTTTGCCCCAGCGTGCACTCCACCACCACGCGTGGTCCCTCTCGCAGGGCTCCAGTTCCCATCCCTCCAATCCCCTCCCAGTGCCTCCCAGTGCCCCAATCCCCTCCCAGTGCCCCCAATCCCTCTCAGTGTCCCCAATCCCCTCCCAGTCCCTCCCAGTGCCCTCAGTTTGCCCCAGTACCGGTACACCCCCACCACCACCGCGTGGTCCCTCTAGATAGGACTCCAGTTCCCCCTCCCAGTCCCTTCCCAGTGCCTCCCAGTCCCTCCCAATCCCTCCTCAGTGCCCCATCCCAGTGCCTCCCAGGTGCCCCCAATCCCCTCCCAGTGCCTCCCAGTGCCCCCAATCCCCTCCAGTGCCTCCCAATCCCCTCCAGTGCCCCAATCCCTCCCAGTCCCTCCCAGTGCTCCCAGTTGCCCCAGTACCGGTGCACCCCACCACCACGGCGTGGTCCCTCTCGTGAGTTCAGTTTCCCCTC